GTCCAGCACACAGCATCCACAACTGGAATTAATAGTTGGTGAAGCCTGGGGTATACATTCACTCTATGGAATTCATCCAATTCCTGCAGTGAACAGACTGGCAAAGTAAATGGAGATACGATGGGGACCCACCAACCCTACATCTTTCAGAGCGGCTCTAATCTCTGCCATGCCTCCTGTGATATTGTCTGTAATTGACTCTCTTGGTTGTGTGTGTGGGGTGGGGGGGCATTTCCATAGACTTGCACATAATTTCCACCAACGTAACCTGAGAGACAGACAGACCCCCACCCAAAATTTGCTTTGGACGTGGAGACCAATGACACCACACACACACACACACACACACACACACACCAAGAAGTCAAGAAATGGTTCATTACTTACAGAACCAAGGGTTCTCAAGAGAGCAGGGCAAGCCTCTCAACCAGTTGTAAAGTGACTTGTGAGAGCAAAGGATAGAGAGTGGTCTGGGATTCTACCATGTGAGGGGGCGGGGCCGAGGTGAGAGTTCTCACATGTGGTCAGGGGCATACATGGTTCTAATCTCCCTCTGGTGCCAAAGGAAGGAGCACCCAGGCTTTCTTACCAGCTTGCCCAGATATCGGGCACAAGGGGAAGACTGAGGGCTAAAAGGAAAGGCCAGATTCTACCGAGAATAAGGGATGGGGGCGGTACTCTTCCCTGAACTGCTGGTGCTATGGGAAATGGGGGCTCTTAGGACTTGAAATATAAACCTCAAAATTACCTGTGCTGTGCCTGGCCTTAATTCAGGGAGAGGTTTTTCTAGAAAGAATAAAAATCAAATAAGGCTGAAAGGCAGAACCTGACTGTAGAAAGGGAGACAACGAGGGCCACAATCATGTCACCCAGAGTGTAAGAGTTGAGTTTTAGTTAAATGACACAGAGGGTCTGTCTGGCATGAATAGTAATGCTAGATGTCTACATAGAATAGAGGTGTTGGCGCACCATCATTAGCATCTGGGAGGCAGGAGGTTAGATGACAAATAGGACAGGTTAAGAGGCACCCCTCCCTCACGTTTGGACAGACTGCCAGAGCTATCAGTACGGGTCCACCAGGCTCACCAAGGCCTTAGGGTTAATAACTACCCACGAAATGGGAGCAATACATATGATGAAAGAAGCACAGGTCCGAGACTTAAGAAGCCTAGCTCTGCAAATCGGTAATCTGGACAATCCCTCTCAGTCCTCTCCTACTCACTTTCGACCACAGAACAAGGAGAGGCTCCATGAACTCTGAGCTAGGAAAAGGCTCCACTGCTCTGCAGGAGGTCCCTGCCCAGCCCATTCCCCTCCTTCCCCCACCTCTTAGGAACAAGCCCCTTCCCCACGGAGCCCCAGCGCCCAGAGCAGGCATCTCCGCCCGAGGTCCCTCGTGGTTGGAGGGTCGAGCCGCCCTCCCCGCGTGTCCACAGCTCCCGGCCCCGACCAGCTCTGAAGGCCAGCGCCCAGAGCCCACCGACACCAGGGAACCCCGCCAAACAGCCCCTTTGGCTCCTTGGGGGCACGAAGCTCCCTTCCTCTCTCCCGCCTCCGCCGGCACTGCGGCGAGTGTGCACACGTGGTCGGGGGGGGGCGCTGCTTCAGTCGCCAAGGCCGGCGAGACCACCCACGTCCTCCAGGCCAACGGGGGAAGGGCAGCAGGAGGCCAGGGTGCCCGAGATGGGCGGCCCGGCCCAACTGTGATCCTCGCGCGCCATCTAGCGGCAGGCGCGGGCACGACAGCGGGAGAAGCGACGCCGAGGCCTCTCGCGCCCCCGGTAGCCATTTCGCTGTGTGGACGGTCCTGTTTCCCAACAGGCACCGGACACAAGCTCGGGGCTGCAGGAAATGGCGGTGCGCGCAGGCGCACACTCGCTGAACGCAAACGCGCACCCTCCCGAGGCACGCACGCGCAGGACCACAGGGCACGGTCTCAGGGTCAGGGAGGCTTCTCCCGGATCACTAGGGCCCCCAACCCTGGCCGATACCCTCAGGTGGCACCGAGGGCCCCGGGGGTCCAGAACCAGCCTCTGGGCAGGAAGGGGTCATCCCCGGGCCCCATCTACAGCCTCCCACTCACAGGACCGCCCTCC